ACTCTGAGCAATTTCTCTTATTTTGGGAAATGTACATGAAATATTTTTGGTCTTTATTTAAATCTTTTATGTAGCAACACCTCTTCTTTAAATTATCGTTTTTATAAACTGTCTTTTATAATGGTAGATCTACCGATAAATCTGTAGGGTTAGCAACGCTGCCTGTCATAACTGGCAAACACCAAAAAAAAAAATGTATACACACTTGTCAACCGATCAAAAGAATGATTTTTCGAGTCCCTATATCTCCATAGATCATCGCGTGTCATCGCAGTCGGTGCCACCCTTACCCAAGAAAAGAGGAAAGGGCGAGAGCAAACCGGGGACCGACTTCTCCCCAGACATCACATAGGGCAACAGAAGGCGCGACTATAACTCAATTACACAGCTTCCCACCTCTGGTGTTAGGGGCCCCCTCAACACAACACCACGTTCTATGTGTGGCATCCGCCTAACTTAATAAAACAAGAAGAATAAGAAAATTCTATTTCGTTTTTATCAATTTTCGCTCAAAATTTTTTTGAAATGAACACCAGATATTGATCAAAACGGTGCCCTCTCGTACCGATGAAGCGTTTTAACCCTTTCCTCCCTCACACGTTTTCCAACTCGCTCGCTAGAGCGATTCATATGGAAAGTAGGGAGGTCTCATCGCCCACCCGATAGATGTCGCGATTATTAAAACGAATCTATTTCGAAATAACCCGAATTGAAACAAAAACTATAAATAAATCAATAAAAAACATTTAAATAAATTATTTTTTTCATTTAAAAAAAAAATTAAATAGAAAAAGTAAGCAAATTACGTGATACCCTTGAAAGGTGAATTCGAAATAGGGGTTTAAGTTGATAAATAGCGCGAGGAGCTCGTTCTAAACCCTTTCTTAGATAAATGTCTCGGGGGTGGGCCTCATTAAGGGGTGTAAACCCCCGTCGTTGTCGGGGACGCGAGGTCGATAATCGAGGGTTCGGAAAATCTATCCCGGAAAAATCCCGAGACGTTGTTAACAGGAATTTTCTTAACGAAGTTTTTCCTACGCGACTGCCGTAGGATGGGGGATGTTTACCCTCTCGCACCCTCCGTTAAAAAGGGGAACGGCGACTTATCTGTGTATAAGGCTACTTTAATTGCAACCGAATGATACCGATAAATTTTTACGCTTTCTTTCTCTTTCAATTTTCATCAACAAAAAAAATTGTTTTATTAAAATTTTGTTCTTTCCAAGTCATGTTCCTATAGGGTTGATTTGAATATATTTGGACACTTTTTCCACTGCAGCCGTACTTTGTAAATACAATAATATGACAGTTTGATGAATTTATTGTTTTTTTAAGTTGTTAATGGTGCCATTCGGAAATTGGAGCATGTTACAAAAAAACTGTTACAACGAAAATTGTAGCAAATTTTATTCTTAACAATATTGCTCTCTTGCACTTTTGCTCTTAGATGCGTCAATAGTGAGAAAAATACAAAAATATGAAAATTTAAGAAATTTCGTTGTTTGACAAGTTCTTAATGGTACCATTTGGGAATTGGAGCATTTTACAAAAAAATTGTTACAACGAAAGTTGTAGCAAATTATATTCTTAACACTATTGCTCTCATGCATTTTTGTTCTTAAATGTGTCAATAGTGAGAAAAATACAAGAATATGAAAATTTAAGAAATTTTGTTGTTTGTCAAGTTCTTAATGGTACCATTTGGAAATTGGAGCATTTTACAAAAAAATTGTTACATCGAAAGTTGTAGCAAATTACATTCTTAACAATATTCTATTCTTGCACTTTTACTGTTAGATGCGTCAATAGTGAGAAAAATACAAAAATAAGAAAATTTAAGAAATTACGTTGTTTAACAAGTTCTTAATGGTACCATTTTGGAACTGGACCATTTTACAAAAAAATTATTAAAATGAAAGTTGTCGCAAATTACATTTTTAACAATATTGTTCTCTTGCACTTTTGTTCTTAGATGCGTCAATAGTGAGAAAAATACAAAAATATGAAAATTTAAGAAATTTCGTTGTTTGACAAGTTCTTAATGGTACCATTTTGGAATTGGAGCATTTTACAAAAAAATTGTTAGAACGAAAGTTGTCGCAAATTACATTCTTAACAATATTGTTCTCTTGTACTTTTGCTCTTAGATGCGTCATTAGTGAGAAAAATACAAAAATATGAAAATTTAAGAAATTTCGTTGTTAATGGTATCACTTGGGAATCGGAGCATGGCACTAAAAAACTTTTAGAACGAAAGTTTTAGCAAATTTCATTGTTAACAATATTACTTTCTTGCATTTTTGCTCTTAGATGCGTCAATAATGAGAAAAATATAAAAACATGAAAATTTAAGAAATATCGTTGTATTAAAAATTGTTAATGGTATCATTGGTGAATTGGAGCATGTTACTAAAAAACTGTTAGAACGAAAGTTGTAGCAAATTTTATTCTTAATAATATTGCTCTCTTGCACTTTTGCTCTTAGATGCGTCAATAATGAGAAACATACAAAAATATGTAAATTTAAGAAATTTCGTTGTTTGACAAGTGCCTAATGGTACCATTTGGGAATTGGAGCATTTTACAAGCAAACTGTTAGAACGAAAGTTGTAGCAAACTTCATTCTTAACAATATTGCTCTCTTGCACTTTTGCTCTTAGATGCGTCAATAGTGAGAAAAATACAAAAATATGAAAATTTAAGAAATTTCGTTGTTTGACAAGTTCTTAATGGTACCATTTGGGAATTGGAGCATTTTACAAAAAAATTGTTACAACGAAAGTTGTCGCAAATTACATTCTTAACAATATTGTTCTCTTGCACTTTTGCTCTTAGATGCGTCAATAGTGAGAAAAATACCAAAAATAAAAAAATTTAAGAAATTTCGTTGTTTGACAAGTTCTTAATGGTACCATTTGGGAATTGGAGCATTCTACGAGAAAATTGTTAGAGCGAAAGTTGTAGCAAATTACATTCTTAACAATATTGTTCTCTTGCACTTTTGCTCTCAGATGCATCAATAGTGAGAAAAATACAAAAATAAAAAAATTTAAGAAATTTCGTTGTTTAACAAGTTCTTAATGGTACCATTTGGGGATTGGAGCATTATACAAAAAAATTATTACAACGAAAGTTGTAGCAAATTACATTCTTAACACTATTGTTCTCTTGCACTTTTGCTCTTAGATGCGTCAATAGTGAGAAAAATATCAAAATATGAAAATTTAAGAAATTTCGTTGTTTGACAAGTTCTTAATGGTACCATTTGGGAATTGGAGCATTTTACAAAAAAATTGTTACAATGAAAGTTGTAGCAAATTATATTCTTAACAATATTGTTCTCTTGCATTTTTGTCTTAGATGCGTCAATAGTGAGAAAAATACAAAAATATGAAAATTTAAGAAATTTCGTTGTTTGACAAGTTCTTAATGGTACCATTTGGAAATTGGAGCATTTTACAACAAAATTGTTACAACGATAGTTGTAGTAAATTACATTCTTAATAATATTGTTCTATTGCACTTTTGCTCTTAGATGCGTCAATAGTGAGAAAAATATAAAAATATGAAAATTTAAGAAATTTCGTTGTTTGACAAGTTCTTAATGGTACCATTTTGGAATTGGAGCATTCTACGAGAAAATTGTTAGAACGAAAGTTGTAGCAAATTACATTCTTAATAATATTGTTCTCTTGCACTTTTGCTCTCAGATGCGTCAATAGTGAGAAAAATACAAAAATAAGAAAATTTAAGAAATTTCGTTGTTCTTAATGGTACTATTTGGGGATTGGAGCAGTTTACAAAAAAATTATTAGAACGAAAGTTGTAGCAAATTATATTCTTAACAATATTGCTCTCTTTAATTTTTGTTCTTAGATGCGTCAATAGTGAGAAAAATACAAAAGTATGAAAATTTAAGAAATTTCGTTGTTTGACAAGTTCTTAATGGTACCATTTGGGAATTGGGGCATTTTACAAAAAAATTATTAGAGCGAAAGTTGTAGCAAATTACATTCTTAACAATATTGTTCTCTTGCACTTTTGCTCTCAGATGCGTCAATAGTGAGAAAAATACAAAAATAAGAAAATTTAAGAAATTTCGTTGTTTAACAAGTTCTTAATGGTACCATTTGGGGATTGGAGCATTTTACAAAAAAATTATTACAACGAAAGTTGTAGCAAATTACATTCTTAACACTATTGTTCTCTTGCACTTTTGCTGTTAGATGCGTCAATAGTGAGAAAAATATCAAAATATGAAAATTTAAGAAATTTCGTTGTTTGACAAGTTCTTAATGGTGCCATTTGGGAATTGGAGCATTTTACAAAAAAATTGTTACAACGAAAGTTGTAGCAAATTACATTCTTAACAATATTGTTCTCTTGCATTTTTGCTCTTAGATGCGTCAATAGTGAGAAAAATATCAAAATATGAAATTTTAAGAAATTTTGTTGTTTGACAAGTTCTTAATGGTACCACGTGGGAATTGGAGCATGTTACAAAAAAGATTTTAAAACGAAAGTTGTCGCAAATTACATTCTTAACAATATTGTTCTTTTGCACTTTTGGTCTTAGATGCGTCACTAGTGAGAAAAATACAAGAATATGAAAATTTAAGAAATCTCTTAGCAGTGTTTCTGAAGTCTCTCATTTAGCTTTTATAGAAATTTTATCAAAAACCAATCAAGACCTGGAGATGATTTGTATATCTTTGAGTTAATTCCTTCTTTCCAATTTTTAATTCTTTGAAGTTCTCCTGCCCTTCTCCTGGAAGCCAATCATTCTGTTCTGATTTATGATTTAGATCGTCGTCTAGAAGCTAGGGAGTCCAGCCGCTTCCCAGCCTAAAGTGCAAAACACTGCTTGAGGGATTTTAAAATGTTAGCTCTCTCTGTTACTGATAGAACATGAAATTTACAAGTCTTAACATGTTGTTGAGATGTGTGTGAGTTAATAATAAAACATATACAAAAATACATTTATTGAATAAGTTACTTACCGGTTAATTTAAATGGTAAAGCTCCTGTTAAAGGATCTGGGGCGAAAGGTCTTGGGCCAAATGGGAAATGATGAAATCCTTGTTGTCTTGTTTTAGATCTTGGTTCTCTAGGACCATCAACAGTTACTTTAATCGCTTTGCTATAAGTTGCAACTTGAGGAGGTGAAGTTGAAACAATTATTGTTAATGTAAAGCTTTTTCCTGAAACGTTAAAAAAAATGATTGATGATCAAAAAAGAAAAATTTTGAGTGCATCATAAAAATAAAGATGACTTGAATATTTTCTCGCAAGAATCGTTGAATTATGCAAACATCGACCGATGTTTCTGGCGCCAGACAAACTTAACGGTTCATAAAAGTTGAGCGTTTTGTAAATGAGAAGTTTAAAAAAATTAAAAATATAATTAATTTTTAAAAAAGGAACACGTAAAATGGTATAATATCGCGGCGTGTTCGGAAATGTATATGAGGTTAAAATTACATCGGAACAAAAAGGGGAAAAAACCTATCGGTAGATGATTGCATTTTTATTTTAATACTTCAAATGTCGAATGGGCAAAAAATCCAATAAACGCAGTCCGCAAGTGAAAAAGAGAAGCATAGTTTTTATTTAATTTCGGCCGAAAACAAAACCGAAAACGCTCGGCAGCTTCAAAAACTCGATGCCACATCGAAAATGGGCTCCAGTGAGTGTATTTATTTACAAATAACACTGTCAGGAACGTATTTTGATTGATCAGCAAAATTTAAAAAATATACATAATATTAAATTGTTTTTAGTCACAAAAGATTACTTTGTTATTTTTTAAGAAATTCGGGTTGGAATAATTTTTGAAGTGTTACAACTCCACATACAGGGGATGGAAAATAAGCGTCATTAATATTTTGGCACGCAATCGGAGCGAATTTTCACTTTACGCCCCTTTCGGGGCACATTTCGAATCGGGGAGCCACAAAATTATGTTTGTAGCACATTAAAACACGCGAAACGCGTTTTTTACGGTCAACGATCAGGTTAAAATTCAGGAGCTTTGCCCCCATAATCCAAAAAACCGTACGATTCGGTCGAAATCAAATTTTCCACAAGTTAATTTATGGACATATTTTTTCAGATATGATGAAGTCGATCCAACTCAATTTCGTTAAGTAATAAAAAGACATTTTTGTCGTTTGGGGGTTAATATCTTCTTATAATACTTTGTATATTTACAAAGATAATTTCGCATCAAATTCTCAAAATCTGTCAAAAATATGAAAATTTAAGAAATTTCGTTGTTAATGGTATCACTTGGGAATCGGAGCATGTTACTAAAAAACTTTTAGAACGAAAGATGTAGCAAATTTTATTCTTAATAATATTGCTCTCTTGCATTTTTGCTCTTATATGCGTCAATAGTGAGAAAAATACAAAAATATGAAAATTTAAGAAATTTCGTTGTTTGACAAGTGCTTAATGGTACCATTTGGGAATTGGAGCATTTTACATGCAAACTGTTAGAACGAAAGTTGTAGCAAATTTCATTCCTAACAATATTGCTCTCTTGCATTTTTGCTTTTAGATGCGTCACTAGTGAGAAAAATACAAAAATATGCAAATTTAAGAAATTTCGTTGTTTGACAAGTGCTTAATGGTACCATTTGGGAATTGGAGCATTTTACGAAAAAATTGTTAAAACAAAAGTTGTAGCAAATTTCATTCTTAACAATATTGCTCTCTTCCACTCTTGCTCTTAGATGCGTCAATAGTGAGAAAAATACAAAAATATGTAAATTTAAGAAATTTCGTTGTTTGACGAGTGCTTAATGGTACCATTTGGGAATTGGAGCATTTTACAAAAAAACTTTTACAACGAAAGTTGTAGCAAACTTAATTCTTAACAATATTGCTCTCTTGCACTTTTGTTCTTAGATGCGTCAATAGTGAGAAAAATACAAAAATATGAAAATTTAAGAAATTTCGTTGTTTGACAAGTTCTTAATGGTACCATTTTGGAATTGGAGCATTTTACAAAAAAATTGTTAGAACGAAAGTTGTCGCAAATTACATTCTTAACAATATTGTTCTCTTGTACTTTTGCTCTTAGATGCGTCATTAGTGAGAAAAATACAAAAATATGAAAATTTAAGAAATTTCGTTGTTAATGGTATCACTTGGGAATCGGAGCATGGCACTAAAAAACTTTTAGAACGAAAGTTTTAGCAAATTTCATTGTTAACAATATTACTTTCTTGCATTTTTGCTCTTAGATGCGTCAATAATGAGAAAAATATAAAAACATGAAAATTTAAGAAATATCGTTGTATTAAAAATTGTTAATGGTATCATTGGTGAATTGGAGCATGTTACTAAAAAACTGTTAGAACGAAAGTTGTAGCAAATTTTATTCTTAATAATATTGCTCTCTTGCACTTTTGCTCTTAGATGCGTCAATAATGAGAAACATACAAAAATATGTAAATTTAAGAAATTTCGTTGTTTGACAAGTGCCTAATGGTACCATTTGGGAATTGGAGCATTTTACAAGCAAACTGTTAGAACGAAAGTTGTAGCAAACTTCATTCTTAACAATATTGCTCTCTTGCACTTTTGCTCTTAGATGCGTCAATAGTGAGAAAAATACAAAAATATGAAAATTTAAGAAATTTCGTTGTTTGACAAGTTCTTAATGGTACCATTTTGGAATGGGAGCATTTTATAAAAAAATTGTTAGAACGAAAGTTGTCGCAAATTACATTCTTAACAATATTGTTCTCTTGTACTTTTGTTCTTAGATGCGTCATTAGTGAGAAAAATACAAAAATATGGAAATTTAAGAAATTTCGTTGTCAATGGTATCACTCGGGAATTGAAGCATGTTACTAAGAAACTTTTAGAACAAGAGTTGTAGCAAATTTAATTCTTAACAATATTGCTCTCTTGCATTTTTGCTCTTATACGCGTCAATAATGAGAAAAATATAAAAATATAAGAAATTTCGTTGTTTGACAAGTACTTAATATTATTAAAATAAAACAATAATGTTTTTTAAACTAGAGTTTCGCGCGTTTATATTAAATTTCCTCGGTACCGGTTTCGACACTATATTAGGTCATCATCAGCCGAATCTACAATTTAATTGAATTACAAAAAATCCTGTTTAAATGAGAGTAATTAAAACTAGTTAAAAATAAAAATCTGATAAAATATATAATTTTTCAAACTTTACGGTCAAGAATAAAACTAATTTAAAATTGGAAACATCTGTTTGGTCATTAGAGATAAAATTTCACACGTAACTAACAAAAATTTAAAATATTTTCTCGAAAAAGACAACACTCGACACGAGACATGAAACATGAATAAAGAACTCAATACAATAATACAAGTTATGAAATGCGTTTTTCAAAGAACGGGTTTGAGAAGAAAGGAATTTAGCAATTCGCCGTTTCAAAAATCTTTTAAACATTTGAATAGGGGTGTAAAATTAAGATCTATTTGATCGTTAAGGAGGTTGTATTTTTTCTTTTTATATTTATTAATTTAATTAAGTACTTTAAGTACTTAATGGTACCACGTGGTAATTGGAGCATGTTACAAAAAAACTGTTAAAACGAAAGTAGTAGCAAATTACATTCTTAACAATATTGTTCTCTTGCACTCTTGCTCTAACATGCGTCAATACTGAGAAAAATACAAAAATATGAAAATTTAAGAAATGTCGTTGTTTGACAAGTTCTCAATGGTGCCATTTGGGAACTGGAGCATTTTACAAAAAAATTGTTAGAACGAAAGTTGTCGCAAATTACATTCTTAACAATATTGTTCTCTTGCATTTTTGCTCTTAGATGCGTCAATAGTGAAAAATATGAAAATTTTAGAAATGTCGTTGTTTGACAAGTTCTTAATGGTGCCACTTGGGAATTGGAGCATATTACAAAAAAATTGTTAGAACGAAAGTTGTAGCAAATTACATTCTTAACACTATTGTTCTCTAGCATTTTTGCTCTTAGATGCGTCAATAGTGAGAAAAATACAAAAATATGAAAATTTAAGAAATTTCGTTGTTTCACTAGTACTTAATGGCACCTAGTGGGAATTGGAGCATGTTACAAAAAAATTGTTAGAATGAAAATTTTAGCAAATTATATTCTTAACAATACTGCTCTCTTGCACTATTGCTCTTAGATGCGTCAATAGTGAGAAAACTACAAAAATATGAAAATTTAAGAAATTTCGTTGATTGACCAGTACTTAATGGTACCACGTAGGAATTGGAGCATGTTACAAAAAAATTGTTAGAATGAAAGTTGTAGCAAATTACATTCTTAACAATATTGTTCTCTTACACTTTTGCTCTTAGATGCGTCAATAATGAGAAAAATACAAAAATAAGAAAATTTAAGAAATTACGTTGTTTAACAAGTTTTTAATGGTACTATTTTGGAACTAGAGCATTTTACAAAAAAATTGTTAGAACGAAAGTTGTCGCAAATTACATTCTTTACAATATTGTGCTCTTGCATTTTTGCTGTTAGATGCGTCGATAGTGAGAACAATACAAAAATATGAAAATTTAAGAAATTACGTTGTTTAACAAGTTCTTAATGGTGCCATTTAGGTTTTGAAGAATTTTACAAAAAAATTGTTAGAACGAAAGTTGTAGCAAATTTTATTCTTAACAATATTGCTCTCTTGCATTTTTGCTCTTAGATGTGTCAATAGTGAGAAAACTACAAAAATATGAAAATTTAAGAAATTTCGTTGATTGACCAGTACTTAATGCTACCACGTGGGAATTGGAGCATGTTACAAAAAAATTTTTAGAACGAAAGTTGTAGCAAATTACATTCTTAACAATATTGTTCTCTTACACTTTTGCTCTTAGATGAGTCAATAATGAGAAAAATACAAAAATATGAAAATTGTATAAATTTCGTTGTTTGACAAGTTCTTAATGGTGCCATTTGGGAATTGGAGCATTTTACAAAAAAATTTTTAAAACGAAAGTTATAGCAAATTTCATTCTCAACACTATTGCTCTCTTGCATTTTTGCTCTTAGATGCGTCAATAGTGAGAAAAATACAAAAATATGAAAATTTAAGAAATTTCGTTGCTTGACCAGTACTTAATGGTACCAAGTGGGAATTGGAGCATGTTACAAAAAAATTGTTAGAACGAAGGTTGTAGCAAATTTCTTTCTTAACAATATTGTTGTCTTGC